CAGGGAGCCCGATGCGGGGCTCGATCCCAGGACCCTGGGATCATGACCTGAGCCAAAGGCAGACGCTTAACCGACTGAGCCACCCAGGCGCCCCAGAAGTGGGAAATCTGCATGTTACCATCCCATAACTGCCCAGATGCTCCTTTCTCTTCCCACTCGGGGTACATCCCATGTAGCACAAGCCCTGGGCTGCCACAGGACCCTTGGTCCCCCCATTCTTTTCACACTGAATGGAGGGTGGCCCCAGTTTGGTGTTCTGCTTTCACTTCCTCCAACCCCAAGCTCCTCACAAGCTTCAAGTGAAAGCCCATGGCCTTGCATTCCGCATGGTTTCCACCCTGTGTCTGCTTCTCTGGCCTTTCTCCCCTCTGGCCAGGCCTTACCAGCCCTGCATGGGCTTGCAGCTGTCTCTGCCTTGCTCCTCGAATTCCCTCTGCCCCCGAGCTTGGTCCCGGAGGGAGACAACCCCCTTTCCAGTTTGCCCTGGTGGCAGAAGGATTCCCGTGCCCACACACAGGACAAGGGAGAGGGCAATGGCACAGGGAAAATACACTAGAGCATTTCATGGTGCCTGGCCAGAGAGCAGTCAGAGGACAGCCCTGCCAGCCCATACGGGACCGCTGTGCGAAGGCCAGGGAACGTACCCCTTTCCCAGGGTGCGTACAACCCCCTGCCTGGGACCATGGCCTGCTCAGCAACGTAGGCTGGATCTCAGGCCCAGTGTGTCCCTCATTAGGGTGCAGAGGCAGGGCCCCACCTGCACAGCTGCCCCGGCCCCACAGAAACAGAAGACGGAGCAGGTGCAAGATTCCTGTGGGGGAATCACTCATGTCTGAGCCCAGATACTCTCCAGGGAGACTGCTGCTGAATCTCGTAACCTGGTCACGCTCCCTGGCCCAGTGATAGCTTCGCTCCCCTCCTCCAGGCCACATCTTTAGGACTGGTCTGGGTACCTCTCCTTATCATCCTTATATCCATCTACCCGCGATTCTAAGCACTATGGGGGTAGCAACGCTGGACACTGTTGTGTGTATGTATGATTGGGAAAATGAGTAAATGTGTTGATGCTTTTGGGGACCTAGAGTTACCATGAAAGAAAAGAGGAGGACAGAAATATGGGATGGAAAAATGAAGGGGGGGTGGAATCGGAGGGGGAGACAAACCATGAGAGACTATGGACTCTGAGAAACAGGATTTTAGAGGGGAGGGGGGTGGAGGGATGGGCTAGCCTGGTGATGGGTATTAAAGAGGGCACGTTCTGCATGGAGCACTGGGTGTTACACGCAAACAATGAATCATGGAACGCTAACATCAAAAAACTAATGATGTAATGTATGGTGACTAACATAATAAAATAAAGTTAAAAAAAAAAAGAAATACAGAATGGAGAAGGCAAGGTAGAAACTCTGGGTTGGGCTAGAATGGGCAGTATCCGTACCAACTCATAACTGGAGTATAATTTCTTTTGTGTGATACAGGTCTACTAATGAGAAGAGTGGAAGTTAGGGGGGTAATTTCTGTTCAATCTCTTATTAAAGTTGATTGCAAAAGGTCACCCCTTAAAGCTGATCTGTGGAGAAATTTTATATCTTTCATCTTTGAAAATGTCTTTTCACACAAGGTGCTGCCAAACACTGACACCAAGCTGCAAGCGTAAGATATTACATGTGCATATTTATCACTTGGAAGAATTTATAGAATTCTATTAGATTCCTCACTTGATGTATATCTTCTAGCATGGCATGCCATTAGATCGCAGAGCACCTCCAACTGAAGGTAAGATGAAAGCTCTCCAGTTGCACAAACTGATTTTAAAATATGGAAATGTCTTCTGTCCTTGCACTGAGGTCTGAAAATCACCGCAAAGTTCAGAAAACACGTTTTTTAAAAAAAGATTTATTTATTTATTTGAGAGAGAGAGAGAGAGAGAGTGGGCGAGCATGAGCAGCAGGGGCAGAAGGAGAAGAGAGAGGGGAATCCCAAGCAGACTCTATCTCACGACCCTGAGATCACGACCTGAGCTGAAACCAAGAGTTGGATGCTTAACCAACTGCGCCCCCTAGGCGCCCCAACACTAATGGTTTAATGCATGTGGTAAATTCCAGTATTTCCCACAAAATACCACTAACAAATAACCATTGACTGACCCACTTCCACACATTTTGTAAATTTGTCCCACCCAGGCTTTTCCTGCTCAATGCATATTTTAACCCCCGTCAGTTCCAACGCATCTTAGCAGATTCCACTTCAGATTGTACTGAATGAGTGTTTTCTCAATTCCTTTGAAAATATTCTTGCCTGGAGTTATTTCACGCAGACTATTCATGTAGCAAGTAGCCAAGGAGATCTAGCAAATTCCACAGAGTAAGTCACTTTTACCTCTTTATCCCTAGTTTCCAGCTAGCCAGTCCTTTCAATTACCTGCAAGAAAATATGCCTGAACAATTACTTCTATATGAATGGGTTGCTTTTTATTTGGAATGTGGTCTGATTGGTTTTAAGGGTACGTATTTATTTCGTGTGTTTCCCTGCCCAATTTTTGGAAGTTTGGCATGCTGGATAAAGCGTAGGCTCTGGAGTGAATGGCACTCACGTTTGGGCCCCAGCCCTGCCACTTTCTAGCTGTGTGAGCCTAGACAAATTTCCGTGCCTCAGTTTCCTCCTTAGCGAAATGAGACACATTCCATCCACACCCATGGTCAAGTATTGAGGCACAAAGGGGCTCAGGTTTGCAAAGAGCCTAGCACAACGCCTGAGACAAATTCGGTGCTTGGAAAATGCTTGTTCACCTCCCTGCTTTTCTTCCCATATCCTGTTTTATATACAAATGTGTAAAAAAAAAATATGCAAAACAATGCAGTGATATAAAAATCAATGTTTATTTGTCCCGCCTTTGACGGAAGCTAGTTTACACTTTGGTGGAATGGTCACGTTCTTCCCTGGAGGCATCTCGTGTAGATTCCTCTCTGGACTGAAGCAAACGGCCATCGTGCACACAGCAAAGACGGCCAAGGTGTCTTCTGAATGTGGGGTCAAGGAACGCATGGAGGAGGGGATTGACGCAGCAGTGGGTGGCTGCGACAATTCTCAGGATCTGAATGCTCCTGTCCAGGTTATAGCTGCTCTTGCAGTCGTGCAGGGAGAAAGATTCTTTGAAAGTGGACAGGAAAAGTGCAATGTTGTAAGGTCCCCACATCAGAAGGAAAACAGCCATAATGGCAAAAACCAGCTTAGAAAGGCCAGACCTCCTCTCCCCAGACCTTCGTATTTTTCTCATTCGCGCGTAGCAAAAGACAAAAACGCACAGTGGAAAAAGAAGTCCCAAAATGTTCATCTTTAAGGTCAGAAAACGCTTCCAGGATGTCTCCTCCGCCAGCAGGAAGTGAGGTAGTCTCAAGAAGCACTTGTATGTCTGGCTTCCCATCTGAGCTTTATAAAACACGGATTCGGGCAAAATGACCAGAGCGGCTAGGACCCACGCCAGAATACTTGAGATCATGCCCCAGCGTGTCGTCCTGGTGGTTGAGGGAAGGCTCACGGGGAAAAACACCAGGTACCTATGCACAGTCAGGAGGACGTTGAAAAATGCCTCGCTATATAGGCCTATGGAGTACAGGACCACTAGAATTTTACAGAAGGGGTTGTCGAGAACCCCCCCGTGTGTCGCAGTGTAGGCCCAGAATGGCAGGGCCAGCAAGAAACACAAATTTGAAACCGCCAAGTTCAGGAGATAGATATCTTCCATGTGCTTGAGTCCTTTATGTTTCACCAGGATAAGCACAACCAAGAGACTGCCCAGGAGACCAGTCAGGAACACGGTGGTGGAGAGCTGGGGTACCACCTGGGCCACCAGGATCTTGGGGTCATAGGGGTCGCATGGTCCTATTTCATTGCTATTCAGGTCATCCTCTATGAGGACGTCATAGTCATCCTCCGGGGCTGACGTGTAATTGGCCATCTTCAGGCTGCCCTGTGGAGACATGAAAGATTATTTTCCCTTCATACAGCTGGGTGGTCCTGGAGGGGAAAAAAAAAAATTGGATTAGTGTCCGCGAAGCTATCCCGTCCCTTTTCTGGTGCTTCATTTTACCCAGAGTAGGTCTATAGCTGAGAAGATTGAAAACAAACATTTCTCCAACGCATCCCCACCTGCTGAGAGCGGCTATTTTTTTTTTTTTTTAAAGATTTTATTTATTTGACAGAGAGAGACACAGCGAGAGAGGGAACACAAGCAGGGGGGAGTGGGAGAGGGAGAAGCAGGCCTCCCGTGGAGCAGAGAGCCTGATGCGGGGCTCGATCCCAGGACCCTGGGACCATGACCTGAGCTGAAGGCAGACGCTTAACGACTGAGCCACCCAGGTGCCCCAAGAGCGGCTAGTATAAATGGCCTCCTCACGAAGCCCTCATATACTTGGCAATGCACTAATACCACCGGGGAAATAAAAGTAAGCATTACACTTCTTCACAGAACTTAAATTCTCCTGGTGGAAACATGATTTGCCTGTCTGAAGGTGATATTTAAGGAAACATACCGTCAAAGAGAGCCCGGCGCTGCGGTTTAGGGTCATGAAATGGGCATCGGTCCTAATGTCTACGTGTTCCAAAAGTCTGCTCACCCTGTGAAGTAGCTTCCTGCAACAGGCTGGCCGAGCTCTTCTCTCGAAGGATAGAAACAAAGGTTTGCAAAAGCGAAACCATCCCAAGCATCAACATGGGCGTCACTGGTTAAATACATAGATGACTTACCCCTTGACGGAGTTCCAGGGGCACGGGGCTCAGCCTCCTGACCCACCATCCGAGCTGCTGTGGGAATGGCCTGGAGCAGCCGAGAGGCTGGCTTTCTTCTGAGCAGCAGGGCCTGACCTTTAGGGGCAAGATAAGCCACTGTTTACCCCTGGGGAGCTCTACACCACAAGTCGCTGGCCTCGGTCTTGGTCTTGGTCTCGGGGACTGACCCAAAGAAAGCAACTTGAAAGCTCCTCCGGACCCCTACAGTGTTTCTCAAGCCTCTGAGAGAAACCAGGAAGTTGTTTTCTCCTCCCGGTTCCCCCTGGACCCCGCCTTTGATTTCCCCCTGGCCTTCAGACAGGCGTCCTCCTGGCTGCCCCAGATAAGGGAACTGAGTTGCCACTGCTCCCCAGTGATACGAGGTGGGCTGACAGCAGGGCACTTCTGAGCAGGTGACAGCCAGCTGTGGAGGGGAAAGTGTCCTGTGGGAGCTCTATGTGCAGACCCCAGGGCAGAAGCCCACTCCCTGCATCTGTAGGGCATCTAGACGGCTCGGGGAGATCCACAGTGAGCAGCATGAGGTCTGGTTCTCGCTGTCACTGTTGAGAGACACTGTGCTGTGACTAGGGGGGTGGCGTCCCAAGAGAGGATCTGGGGACAAAGGAAACCACAGAATGGTGTCACTTGGGAAGGGGGCTGGTGCAGAGATGCTCAGGACCAGTGAGTGGGATTTGAGGAAAACATAGTGAGGAAAGCCAGGAGTTAAGCAAGGCGTGAGGTGCTGACCGTGCTCCCAGAAGATCCCAGGAAATTCCACGGAGGGTGGGGGAAGGGCGTCAAGTCTGGGCTACAGAGCCTGTGGGGAAACCTCCCAGGCTGGGACTGCGATGGGGGAGGGGGGAGGTCTGAGGCTGGAGAGAAAGGAAGCTGGAGGAGTCCAGATTTCAGAGTTGGGGGGAGGAAGCAGTGGGTGGTCAGGGGCAGGACATACGGGGCAGGGGGTGGCTTGGAAGAAGGATGAAGGGAGAAGAGGAATGCCAAACAGCTGGGAAGTCCATATGAACTTCTCCCGGATCCTCTCTCTGGACCTGTGACTGACCTAATTTGGGGCCACCCCCCTACACTGTGGTTTAGCACTCACACAGTTGGCTAAAGGACATCCTGTTAATGCATGCCAGAGAAGTGTCTGAGCTAGCTTTCAACTCAGAGCGTGGACCTGTGAAGATGGAAATAGAAACAAACTATTAAAAGAAAGGCAAAAACAAACATAAAAGGGCCCAGACGAATATGCGGTTGAGTGTTCAATTTAACTCAAAGATGACGTTCGTCCCCCACACGGAGGGGTTGGTGTTGGTGGGAACCTGGGGGGTGCACGCTTCCCAGCATGGTCTTGCCCCCCTCCCCCCGCACGGGCTCCTGGAGTGAGTGGGGGTCACTGCCCATTGGTGGCAGCGCAGCCCTGGGACCCGCCCGTGGAGGGGCTCTACCTCCCTCGCTGGGCTATTTGCAGCCACACCAGCCCCGCACCCCCCTCCCCCCAGGACCTTGAGTGAGTAAGGGACGGTGCCTCAGTAAAGCTCATGCAGGATGCTCACTGGTCCGCGCTGGGCAAAGCAGTGAGAGTCAAGTGAACTCGGAAACACGGAAAGCCCCATGGATATACACACGTACACTACATGGCTAAGTAGAGGAACATGGCAGTAGGCAGGACCTCATGCAGGTCACAGAATTACATGAGATTTTTTTTTTAAAGATTTTATTTATTTATTTGACAGAGAGAGAATGAGAGAGAGAGCACGTGAGGGGGGGAGGGTCAGAGGGAGAAGCAGACCCCCCGCCGAGCAGGGAGCCCGATGCGGGACTCGATCCCAGGACTTTCAGGATCATGACCTGAGCCGAAGGCAGTCGCTCAACCAACTGAGCCACCCAGGCGCCCCCGAATTACATGAGATTTGAAGTTCCCCAGGAAAAACACGGGAAATTCGAGACCACCCCTAACTTCCTGATATTAATGGCCTTCACTTTCAGTATTATTTTATTTTGGCTTGATTCCCAATATTCTGCTTATCCAGCCTCAGGCCATGGGGTTCTTCCCTTTTTATTTTTTTTAATGGAGAGATAATTGACATATACCATTGTGTAAGTTTAAGGGATACAGCGTACTGATTTGATATGTTTATCAACCACTGAGCAAAGAACATTTACTATGTTCTTTGTTCAACCACTGGGAGATTGACTGACACCCCTGTCCCGTCGCGTAACTATCGTTTCTTCTAGTGGTAGGAACCATTAAGATGTATCCTGCCAGCAAGTTTGCTGTTTATAATACACTTTTGTTGCCTATAATCACTATAGTGTGTATTAGCTCTCCGAGGCCTTGGGATTCTAGAAACTCCTAAATGGATAGGAAGGAATGGTCTGGAGGTCTGAAGTGGAAGCGAGAGGAAAGTTTTATTACCCTTCTACTATCTGGAACCATAATAGGGTCTTCATTGTTTGTGAAACCTTACCTCATTCTGCGGCTTTGGCACGTGGCTCACCAACCTTACCTTCAAGGGTCTGAATTCTTCTTTATCGCTATAATTCAACCCCAATTTCAGTCCAAGAAACTAAGAAGCTCTAACTCTCATTATCCTGTACACACAGGTCATTCATTAATTCAGTTCATCTATTCAGATATTCACATATATTTACAGAGTTCCTAGCAGGTGCCCGGCACCGTTCTGGGTGAACAACGTAGGCAAACATCCTGAACTTCACAGAGCTTCCGTTCTACAGAGAAAAACAGAGTAAGTACGTAAGTTGTAGGGTAGTAGGAGACATGTTCTGTGGAGAAAAGCAAAGCAGGAAGGAGGGTAGGAAGGGCCGGGATGGTTCAGGGGCTCACACTTTACGTAGGATGGTCAGAGGAAGCTTGGTGACAAGTGTGCATAGGAACAGCATGTGATTAGGCCCCATAATTAATGCTCACGATCTCTTTTTTCTTCTTGTTACTAAGTTCTTATACCAGGGAGCTTGGAAAACATACAATCCAGTGGGTTGTAGTCATACCATCTCCAACAAGGTCCGAAGCTCAGCCTTGGGAGGGAAGGCACCTTCCAAGTGTGTTCATTCTGGGTGTTCTACCTTAGGCTAGAGACAGCTCCCTACCTCTGCTGTTCCTGTAGTTAGTCCCTTGTTTAATTCTTCATAGTAAATGTTCTTTGTTCAGATTACTGGTGTGATTTCTGTCTCTTGACTGGATGCCGATTGATAGATATCAACATTGAATTTAGTTCAGTGAAGGGTTGCGAGCATCCCTGGATGATGAATTACTAACATGGAGAATTTCTCAGGGATTTATTGATATTGAGAAATGGGTATTCAAAATTTTTAAATTACAGTAATTTAATCTAGCCCTTAAAATGGCTTCTTCAAATATCAGTGCTCTCAGATTATCTATCAATCAATCTACCTATCTAATTTTTATTTGAAAATATTACATTACAGAAAAATTGGAAAGTATAGAAAAAATAATCTATAATAGTGATATTCACAAAGAACAGCTATTATAATTTTTAAATAACACTGCTTCTTAATGGAAAATGTGCAAAAACTGCTTTTAGATGACTGCTTTCTGCTGGCTTAGTTGCTTGGCATTGAGTAGTAGATTAAAAGGACAAATACCCATGTGTTGAAATTCTCAGGATTCTGAGGGTGTCTGTCCTGCCCCCAAATTTTCTCCCACTGACTGCCTAATGACTAACACCCAACCTCAGGGCTTGGTCCTCCCAGTAGCTGGTCTTCCTGGGAAGGCAGCAAAGGGGGGAATGATCCTTTCAAAATGTCATCATAATGATAATCAACCCTGAAACACAGATTTTCTATGTACTTACTGAAAGAAAAATTCTTAACTGTATCTAAAAAAGCCTCTCTCAGTGCATGCTCCATTTATTCTGCAGTGTGCTAAAACAGTGTAAAAAAGAAAAGTTGGGGGGGGAAGACTTTGCCCAAGTAAGTTTGAAAAAGAGCAAAACTAAAAAATTTAAGCAAGTTTCTTTACTACAGGACTTCTCAGAACTCTTTTTTTTTTTTTAAAGATTTATTTATTTATTTGAGAGAGAGAATGAGAGAGAGAGAGCACATGAGAGGGGGGAGGGTCAGAGGGAGAAGCAG